AGGTGCAGGGCAGTGATGCCCTGGGCACAGATAAAAGCTCTGTAAATGCAGGGCAGTGATGCCCTGGGCACAGAAAACTGAGCACAGATAAAAGCTCTGTAAATGCAGGGCAGCGATGCCCTGGGCACAGAAAAAAGCTCTATAAATGCAGGGCAGTGATGCCCTGGGCATAAATAAAAGCCCTGGAGGTGCAGGGCAGCGATGCCCTGGGCACAGATAAAAACTCTGTAAATGCAGGGCAGTGATGCCCTGGGCACAGATAAAAACTCTGTAAATGCAGGGCAGCGATGTCCTGAGCACAGATAAAGCACTGGAAATGCGGGACAGCGATGCCCTGGGCATAGAAAAAAGCTCTGGAGGTGCAGGGCAGTGATGCCCTGGGCACAGACAAAGCTCTGCAGGTGCAGGGCAGCGATGCCCTGGGCACAGACAAAGCTCTATAAATGCAGGGCAGAGATGCCCTGGGCACAGATAAACGCTCTGGAGGTGCAGGGCAGCGATGCCCTTGGCACAGATAAAGCTCTATAAATGCAGGGCAGAGATGCCCTGGGCACAGATAAACGCTCTGGAGGTGCAGGGCAGTGATGCCCTGGGCACAGACAAAGCCAGCTGGCTGTGCCACCGTGTGCAGGCAGCAGCTGAGCTGAGCAAAACCCCAGGTTTCCATCAGCCGAGCCAGATGTGAGCTGGCACAGCTCTCCCTGGAATATGAGGCTGGGGCTGTGGTGAGCAACAGAGCCAAGGGCCAGGTCAACCCTCCTGGCCTGTGGGGACAGCCCTGGAGGGGGACAGAGGTGACCATGGAGCTGAGAGAGGTGGCACTGCACCAGAGACCTTTCCCCGTGGGTGTGAGGGTGACCTGCCATCCTGCCAAGGATGGAAGTCCTGCCTAATTTGCCTGGAAATATCGACAGGTTTCCTGTCATCCCTGCCACCAAGCTCCTCCAGGAAGATTCTCTGGGGCTGCAGCTTTCAGGGGCAGTGGGGCAGCGTGGGCTGGCTGCAGGATGCAAACCTTCATTGCAAACCACCCTGAGCACTGCCAGGCCTGCAGAGCTCAGAACCTGCTCCCCTTGTCCTAGTGCTGCAGGGGGCTGTCATCCCACAAAAAGGCAGTTTGGGATGGGCTCAGTCCAGGCTGGCAGCAGCAGCTGGTCTGGAGGACACCCTGGCTGCCTTCTCACCCCTCCTGCTCCGTCCTGCCACATGCTCAGAGCTGAGGCTGTGGGTTATTTTTCCCCAGTTTGTTTTCCTCTTCTGCTGGAGCTGGTGCTACTCCTGGCTCTGCAGGGCTCAGGTTTCCCAGGCAGTGATGTCTGGGAGAGCCAGAGCACTGGAATCCCTTCAGGAAGCTCCTCTTGGCAGATGGTTCTTGTGCACATGGCCATCAGAAAGCCCCAGGTGTTGCTCAGGGCTCTGCCCTGGACTTCAGGCTTTGGCAGCTCAGCACAGCAGCTCATAGCTCATCGGGCCCCTGTGAGCCTGGAAATTTGTGTTTGCAAAGCTGGCAGGTGGGGTCTGTGGTGGAAGGAGCTGTGAGTCCTTGTTTGCATGCATTTCCAGAGAAATAAGAGGGGAGTTGGGTATTGAGCTGAATGTGTGCACTTGTTGTAGGCTCAGCACCCCTGACTGTGCTTGTGGGTGTGTGTCAGACCCCCCTGCTCCCACCCCAGGGCTATACCTGGCACGGTGTGTGTCCATCCCCACCTCCTGAGCATGTCCCTGCTCAGCAAGGGGCCTTTGGGGAGCCCTTTTGGGGAAGAACCAGATTTTCAGTGCCCTGCTCTGCGCTACCCCAAACTGGGCTGCTCTGTTTCCTGGTCTGAAATTTGCTTGTGCTGTTCTGGTGAGTTACTGATCTGTAGGAGGTTGAAAGCCACCTGAGTTGTACCCAACAGCCACAGGTTTGCTGCTCCCACAGTCAATGCCCAGGCACAGAGCTGTGCCTGCCAGGATGATCCCGGTGCAGCTCCAGATGCTGCTCTGGTTCTGTGCCTGCCTCAGGGCTCTGCCTCCTCCTCCTTCTCCAGAGCATCGTGCTGCCTCTGCTGGCATGAGGGAATCCCCCTGTAAAACATTTCCTGATGTTTTACAGCTGGGAGGGAGCCCTGTGGCACTGTGCAGCACAGCGTTTCTTGCAGCAGCTGCTGTGGGGGCACTGAGCTGGGGCTGAGGAGCTGCTGAGCCCAGGGCAGCTCCCCGTGCCAGGGCCAGGAGCAGCAGCCTCTCCTCTCTGTGCTCCCCACCAGCACGGGGAACGCAGTGGAAGTTCTTCTAGAGGAAGAACTCAGACCTCAACAATGCTGTGGATAGCTCTGCTGCCAGATTTGGGCTTTTATTATTTTATTTTTTCAGCGACGTTTATGGGTTGGGGATTTTGCAGAACTTGGCGCTGGGATCTAATATCAAATGAAGACCTTCTGGTTCGGAAATTTGACTTAATGCAGCCGTCTTTTATTGCTTCAAGGATTAAGCAGAACAAAGTGGCTCTGCCTGTGCATGTGCAGAGATGTTTGCCAGAGGCACGTGAGACACCCTGTGGCAGCTGTGATGGCCGAGCCAAGCCTGGTGGGACCTTCCACTGCCGAGGGTTTTGCAGCTGCTCCTGGAGCCCAGGACAGGCAAGCAGCCCTCGGGAACACAGCAGCAGAGAGGGACTTTCCCAAAGAGAATGAGGGCCCAGGGCTGGTGGAGCAGGCAGGGAGCTCTGCCATGGGGTCACCAGTGCAGGGAAAAGGGCACAGGCAGAGCAGACAACGGGCTCAGGGAGCACCAGCAGCATGGGCACATCCCTGTGTGCCTGTGCAACAGGGACAAGGGGTAACCAGGTGCTTTGAGGGGCCTTTGAGAGCCCCACAAAGGCTGGGGAATGAACCAGCAGCGTGGAGCTGCTGCTGCCACCCACAACCTTCCAGAGCTGGATGCTGCCCTGGGGCTGGGAAACCTCAGGGTGATGTGCCCTGGGCACTGGGAAATCTCAGGGAGGTGTGCCCTGGGCACTGGGAAACCTCAGGGAGGTGTGTCTGGGCACTGGGAAACCTCGGGGTGATGTGTGTGTGTGCCCTGGGCACTGGGAAACCTCGGGGTGATGTGTCCTGGGCACTGGGAAACATTGGGGTGATGTGTGTGTGTGCCCTGGGCACTGGGAAACCTCGGGGTGATGTGTCCTGGGCACTGGGAAACCTCGGGGTGATGTGTGTGTGTGTCCTGGGCACTGGGAAACCTCGGGGTGATGTGTGTGTGTCCTGGGCACTGGGAAACCTCGGGGTGATGTGTGTGTGTGTCCTGGGCACTGGGAAACCTCAGGGTGATGTGTGTGTGTGTCCTGGGCACTGGGAAACCTCGGGGTGATGTGTGTCCTGCTTGCTGTCCCCTGCTGAGGGGCTGGGAGACCTGGCACCAGACAAACTCTGCAAAACTCCTCCTGCAGGAAGCCACTTTGTGCATGCTCACACAGAGGAAATTCAAATTCTCTATCCAGCTCCAGGACCTGGAAACCCAAATTGCCCACCTCACAGCTGGGCTGTTGGCAGCAGCCTGGCAGTTCCCAGGGGTTCACTCCTACTGCTGTTGTAACCAGGTCTGTCCAGCCTCCAGCATCTGGTCCTTCTCTCCAAGGCTCAGTAAACCTTTGGAGAGCCTGTTTACATTTGGGATCCCTGGTACGTTCAGCAAGAGGCAATATATCAGCAATTTAGTTATTGTGGATTAGGTCTCAAATATCCTGGGGATATAATGTTGGTCTTTCTCACCTTGTATGTAGGAGGACTAATGGCAAATTATCTGGATGGTTTACATTTTCTGGTTTGTATTGGAGCTCCCAAGGACCAATTTATCCTGATTGAATTGCAAACAAGGCTTAGTGCCATCTCAGATTCAGGGGCCAGGTCCCTCCATAAATGAATTCAGAACAATTCAGGTTACCCCAAATTCTTCCTGTAGATTGGATAATGGCATAAATCCTGCGAATGTTTAGACTGGAAATTGTTTGTAGCAACCTGAGCTTGACCGATGGCTGCGGTAACAGAAAGAATTATAACTCGTGTCCTGCAGTGAGGGTGGGAAGAGCTGGCAGCCCAGCCAGACGGTTCACCACAGACCCCCAGGTGCTCGTGGGGGGATTTGGGGATCGTGTGTGACCTGCCAAAACACTGACTCTGCAGCACCTACACCGGTGGCCTTTCTGCGCTGAGGCAGCAGCTGTGGCCAAACCCAGGCTGTGTTTGGGCTAGAAAGCGAGGAAACAAGGAGGGGGAAGTGTGTGCTCGCTTGGTTTGTGCTGCGGTCTCCAGGTTTCCCATGGCACTGCCCTGCCCAGCCCGGAGATGGGTCCGCGGCGCTGCCCTTGGCACCCCGGGGCTGCCTTTGCTCCCTGCGGGCATCCCTCCCTGCTGCTGTCCCCACGCCGGGGGACTGTGCCCAGACCTGAGTGTTGTGTAAACACGGCGTGTGCTTCCTGCGAGCACCGCAAAGCCGCCGTAATTAAAAAGCGTAATTAAACAGCGGGGGCGGCCGGAGCGGGCGGCGGCTCCGCGGTGCCTCCGGCGCTCGGCGCTCGCTCGGGAGGGTTTGGGCAGCGCTGCGCTGCCCGCATGCCCGCTGCCCGCATGCCCAGGCTGCTGTGGGCACGGCCGGACTGTCCCGCATCCCCTGTCCGCAGGGACCTGCCCCGCTGCCCCCCAGCTCCCCGCACAAGGGCGGAGGGGCTGCGGGGATCCCCCTGCGCACAGCTCCGTAAAAATACTCCCAACAGCCCGGCTTAAGCACTTGACAGTGTTTATAAAGCAGCTTGCAGCAAACAGGCTTGGAAGTGCGGAACAAGTTGGTGTTTACACAAGTGACTAATTATTTATTTGAAAATCCTGCGGACGAGCCGTGGGCTGTAACGACAAGCACATGCGGAGCGCTGGGCTCCTGCCCCGGCAGCCGCAGCGGGGACACGGTGAAAAGTTCAGAGCCACCAGGGCGGGGGGACAGTGGCGATGTCCCCGCAGCGCCCGGTGGCCATCAGGTGAGCCGGTGCTTGTGCCACGGGCTGCCACAAGTGCCCGGGTCACAGCGGCCCTCGCCTACTGCTGGGACAGCCCCCTCCTCCAGGTGCTGTGCTGCGGGGCCGTGGCTCCCTTAGGTGGGCTGTTGGGCAGGGGTTCAGCAGGTCCCCGCCCAGGGTGGGCCAGGGAGGGGACCGGTCCCCTGGGCACCGGCTCCATCCCAGGCTGAGGCCGGGCTCGCTTCCAGCGCTGTCGCCACCAGTTGTTTGGGGCATCGGTGATTGCGCAGTTATTATAAAGGGATTAAAACAATTTTCTGTTCCATTTGACTTCACAGAGCAAATGTTGTCGCCTCTATTCCAGCACAATGTCTGCCGTTGGCAGGGCTTCGCTCTGCCAGCTGCAGAGAGGAGCAGGGCCCGGTTCGGCACTGCCGGATCTCTTGGTGCAGCGTGGAACTTGCCCTTCCTTCACACTGGGCACAGTGTGAAAACTGCAGGGAAAATGCCCTGTCAGGAGCCAGCTGGAGCGAGGGTTTGGGCACTCTCAGGCAAGGATGGCACATGTGGAGTCCTGGCTGCTGGCTGGCAGCTGGGCTCCCCTTCTCTCTGCCGAGGTTCCTGCAGAGCCATTGGTTTGCTGCCCAGCCTGTCCTGCTGCTGTTGCCATCTCATCGCTCTGTCCTGCCATGCACAGTGGGCCACTCTGTTCTGTGGTTTGGTGAGGGCAGCGTGGCACTCGCAGCCGGGCTCTGTGCCCCATGTTGGGTTCTCTGCTCCATGCCAGGCTCTCTCTGCTCCATGCCAGGCTCTCTGCCCCATGCCAGGCTTGCTGCCCCATGCTGGGCTCTCTGCCCCATGGTGGGCTTGCTGCCCCATGCCAGGCTTGCTGCCCCTCACCAGGCTGTCTCTGCCCCACACCAGGCTCTCTGCCCCATGTTAGATTCTCCGCTCCATGCCAGGCTCGCTGCTCCTCACCAGGCTCTCTCTGCCCCACACCAGGCTGTTTCTGCCCTGTGCCAGGCTCTCTGCCCCTCACCACACTTGCTGCCCCACACCAGGCTGTCTCTGGTCCATGCTGGTCTCTCTGCCCCTCACCAGGCTCTCTCTGCCCCATGCCAGGCTCTCTCTACCCCATGCCAGGTTCTCTGCCCCTCCCCAGGCTCTCTCTGCCCCATGCTGGGCTCTGTGCCCTATGCCAGGCTCTCTCTGCCCCATGCCAGGCTCTGTGCCCCATGCCAGGCTCTCTCTCCCGGTGATCCTGGGACAGAGCAGCTCCTGCACTCAGCCCAGCGCAGGCAGAGCTGACCCTGCCCTGTGCTTCGGGGAATGGGAGATGGGAGGTTTGGAAATTCCCTCAGAGCAGAAACGCGGCGTTTTGGGCAGCTGGCAGAGGATCCCACCCCGTCCCCAGACAGCCCCAGCCCCGGCTGGGGACTGCAGGCTCGCTCTCTGCTGGCCTTGACTACCAGCCCCAGAGGTGCCCATTGATGGGAAACATCTTGTGTGCCTGGCACCCGCAGCAGCCATCTGCTGCTTGGGGAGGGCAGCCCAGGGGTCTGGCTCTATTTTAAACAAGTTCCAGCTCTAACTACTGTTTGCAGCACTGGCAGATGGTGAAGATGTGCTGAGCATTCTGGAGGGTGCTGATTATTAGCACCAGGGACTTATGGATGAGGCTGGAGCACACTTCTCCCCACACCATTCCGGGTGCCAGCACCCCCAGTGCACCCCACAATGTGGCAGGCACATTCTTCTCTCTCTCAGGATTTTTTATAAAGGAGCACAGAGGAAAGAAAGGGAAAACAATTTCTATTTCTGATCCTTGTTTTTCTCATGTGGAATGTGTTTAAACAATTGTTTACCTGGGGGTGATTGCTTGGTTGGATTCTGGTGAGGATTGTGTGAGCTTGATGGCCAATCCAATCCACCTGGGGCTGGATTCTCACGAGAGGGCCAGGAGCTGTGAGTTAGGTTAGAAAAAGTAGGTTTGCAATTTTAGTATCTCATTTCAATAGGATATTGATGTATTATAACATAGTTATAATAAAGAAATAATTTGGTCTCCTGAACTGGAGTCAGACATCATCATTTCTTCCCACTGGGTTCACGTGCATTTACAATCCAACAACGCCCGTGCTTGCCCCCAGCCATTGTGGGAGTGATGCTGTCTGTCTGTCCAGTTAACCTGCTCTCCTCTTCTTCTGCAGGTCCTGCCAGCATCCCTGGGAGCTGCGAGCAGCTAACGCCCACCGCCGAGCCCCCGATGGGACTGGGGCCGAGCTCCTGCACTCCTGACAGGGATGAAGGTAGAGCCATGTTACCTGCTACCTAAGCTGCCTGCTGCTGCTGTAGCTCGTGGATATGGTCCCAGCCCTGGCTCCGTGCACAGACTCTCAGCTCTGACCCCACCCCGGAGGATTTAGTGGCAGCAGAGACCCCAGCTGTGGAGCACGCTCCCCCAGGCACCCCAGGACGGAGGGGCTGCAGCGCTGGAGAGTTACTATGCAGCTTGGACTGCTTGTGGCGGTGGTTTTTCTAAGCTCCATGGATCTAACAGGCAGCAGCAAAGTGGTGAAGGGCAAGAGGCAAAGACGAAGTATGTATGAAATGCTTTTCTTCTCTACTTCCTCCCATCACGCCATGAAGGTCATGCTGGTGTCAACGTGTTTACAGCTCAGGGAGCTGGGCAGGGCGTGCGGTGCCCCAAAATCCCCCAGTCCCCCTCCCCATGTCCCCCGACCTGCCACAGCCCCGAGCTGGGGTGTCCCCTGAGGTCACGGGGGTCAGTTATGCCTCCAGCCCAGAGGGTCCCTGGTGGGGCTCGTGCAGCGCAGCCAGGCAGAATTGGCACAAGAGCAGCCAGAGGCATTTGCCCTCCTTTATGTAAGCTCATGCTAGAACTGTTTTACATTAAAACTGTTTTAAATTAAATTATATAAAATTGATTTTATATTAAAACTGGGACTGCTGAGCCCTGGGAGAACAAGGAAAACCTGACGTCATGGCTAATGCTATAAAGGGCAATTTCCAGCGAGAGCCCAGTTTATACCCCTGCCATGGATGCAGAGCTTGGCACCAGAGCCCAGCGCTGTGGGAGGGATGGGGCTGGATCCCTGGGGGTCTCTGTGTAGAGGGACCAGGACCCACAGTGCCAGGGGGTCCCAATCCAGACCAGGCAACCCTCCTGGCAGCTGGGGGCTGAGGGTCCCCATGGCTTTGGTGTCTCTTCCTAAGGCTGAAGCAGCCCCCACAGGCCTGGCAATGGGGCTGGGGCAGGCAGTGGGGGCTGCCAGGCTCTTGGGTCATGGTGTGGGGACTGGGCAGCTCTCTCACCTCCGGTCCTGACACTTGAACACTGTGCTTGCTTTTGAAGTGTAGTAAACATGGTATTTAAAAGAATACATCTTTTAAATACACAGATTTTCTATAAACAAGGACATGGCTTGCATAATAAGCTAATAAAAATAACCTGCATTCTAGTCTGCAAAGAATGCAATTGGTTTCAAAACAAGCAGCATTTTCTATGGTAATTAAAAGCAGAGAACTCTCAAGACAAGGGATTGAGTATTTTTCTTGGACTGAATGTAGGAGCTGAGAACACATCTCTATTTTGGGGGCAGTGACACCTCCCGACTGCCAGAGAGAATTTAACATAGGCAGGGTCAGAGCGAGACCCAGCCTGGGATGCAGCATGGACAGAATTAATGGAGCAGTTTTGCTCCAGGGCCATGGCCTGGTCCCTGCTGCTCCTCGGCACGGAGGCACTGCAGGGGAGGCAGCAGGAGGTGCTGGAGCCCTGGGCTCATGCCCATGGGCAGTTCTGCCCCACACGGGCTGGGCTGGGCAGTGCTGGGCACAGCTGGTGGCTCTTTTGGGGTCCTGCTCCAGCTGTTGTGACTCTCGTGGCCGTGCTTGGCACAGCTGTGGCCCCTGGGGACAAGGCCAGAGCGGTGCTGTGAGCGTGCCAGTGCTGCAGGAGCCTTGCTGTGCCCCAGGAGCTGCCCTTGCTGCCAGGGTTTGGGGTCACAGCTGGTGCCCGCAGAGCCTGGCACTAACCACTGCCTCTCTCCTGCTCTTCCAGTCAGCACCGAGCTGAGCCAGGGCTGTGCCAGAGGTTGTGACCTGTGCTCTGAGTTCAACGGGTGCCTGAGGTGCTCCCCCAAACTCTTCATCCTTCTGGAGCGGAACGACATCCGACAAATTGGGATTTGCCTGCCCTCTTGTCCACTGGGATACTTCGGCCTTCGCAATACGGACATGAACAAGTGCATCAGTGAGTGTGGGGCTGGGAGGGGAGGGGAGTGGGCAGGAGGCAGTGCTCTGCAGGGCAGGAGGGTGCAGGAGGTGCTGTGGCTGTGGGCAGGAGGCAGTGCTCTGCAGGGCAGAGCCTCTGCTGGGGTGCAGGAGCTGCTGTGGCTGTGGGTGAGGCAGGGCTGAGCCTGAGGAGAGCCCTGCTCAGCACTGCACGGGCATGCTGTGGGTGTGGGATCTTGCAGGACCTCTGGGCACTTTTGTTATATGGCTTGCCAGACTTTGGGAAGAGGGAAATCCTTTCAGGCACTGAGTGCCTCTGTTCCTGCTCTACGGCTCACCAGACTCAGTCAGCTCTGAGTGAAATCCCTGACTTGCATCTTGTAGCCAGAGCACCAGGGAACGTGTGGTCACTCCCCTGGCAGATCCTTGCACAGCACCCTCACAGCCAGCTTTCCATCTAGCTCCCTTTCCATGCAGCCTGTCCTGGGGCTGCAGCTGGAGCTGGGACTGTGTCCTTTGCACCGTCCCCTTTGGCTGACTGATGCTCAGCTGAACACCAGCCCAAAACCTTCCCACCCTGCCTGATTCTGTCCTGGCAGTGGCTGCTGCTGGCTGGCTCTGAGAGCTGCGGCACAGGGCTGTCCTGCACAGGAAATGGTGCAAAGAAAACTCACTTCTGAGGGGCACATCCAGGCCTGGCAGGATGCTCAGAGACCTCTGGGTTGGCAGTGTGGAGTCTCTTGAATCTTCTGTTCATGCTGGACTACATGATGGCTTTGGTGATATTTTTGTTTTTGGTGGTTTTTTTTCCCCCTCCAGAATGCAAAATTGAGAACTGTGAGTCCTGTTTCAGTCGAAACTTTTGCACAAAATGTAAGGAAGGTTTGTATTTGCACAAAGGGAGATGTTACGTCACGTGCCCCGAAGGCTACGCTGCTGCCAACGGCACCATGGAGTGCAGCAGCCCTGGTAAGCAGCCCTGCACTTGGCGTTCTGCTCGTGGGTTCTGCTGCAGGGGGGTTTAGATGATGAACTGAACCCCTCTTGGTGCCTGTGCCAAGCCCATCGTGGGGCAGAGCCCTCTGGGAACCAGCCTGGATGGGGAGCAGCACAGTGTTTGTGAGCTGGGACCCAGAGCTGGCATGGTGTGGCAAGGGAGGGGTGCTCAGGGACTGAGGAACCTGCTGGGGAAACACAAACTCCCCTGCAGCCTGAGGTGGGGGAGAGATGCAGTGCTGGGCTCTGGGGTGGGCTGGGCTGGCACGCCAGGAGTTACAGCTGGGCTCTCTCGTTACCTGGCAGCACAATGTGAAATGAGTGAGTGGGGGCCCTGGGGGCCCTGCTCCAAGAAGAGGAAGCTCTGTGGCTTCAAGAAGGGCAATGAAGACCGAACACGGAGGATTCTGCAGGCTCCCTCTGGGGACGTGTCTCTGTGTCCTGCGACTACGGAGGTGCGGCGCTGCACGGTGCAGAAGAACCAGTGCCCCGAAGGTGAGCAGATCCCTCCCCACCATCCCTCCCACACCCTGCAGAGCTCAGGCACAAGTAGTCAGCCAATTGTCCAGTGTCACAAATGTGCTGTGCAGCTCCTGACCCCTCTGAAGTGCTGGGGATACGGATGTGAGGGCACCTGGAAGAGCTGCAGGTGGAAGGGGCAGAGCTCCCAGGTGGGGTGATCCTTGGCACAGCTTGCCATATGTGCCACAGGTTTCAGCTGTTTCACAGAATTCACAGGAGGCAAGGCTGGAAGAGACCTTCGAGATTGTTGAGTCCAACCCATGCCAGAAAAAAACCCCATTTTAGTTTCTTCCCTGGCCAGAGAGCAGCCAGGGATGCATGCCTGTGTGCTGCCATGATGGGAGCTCTGGGCCAGAATAGGTCTGTTTTTCCCAGGAATTAGAGTGTCTTCAGGATAGAATGGTGGTTTGGTGATCTTTTTAGAGTATTCAAGGATTGCAGCTGAGAAAGGGTTCTGAGCAGTGACTAAATGCACAGGAATTAACCAGGGGGGCAGGGTGATGAGGACAGGGCTGATCCGTTCCCCCATGCCTCGCTCCACCTCACGCTGCCCCTTTGCCTTACTGCAGGGAAAAGGAAGAAAAAGGAAGAGCAAGGAAAGCAAGATAATGGGAATAGAAATCGGAAAGACACCAAAGACACTAAGTCTGGCACCAAGAAGAGAAAGAACAAACAGAGAGGGGCCACGGTGCCCGCGACGCCCGCTAGCCCTGCCCAGTAGCCGGCCGGTGCGTCACCGATGGCAAGACTCCATTGCTGCTATGTATATGAAAGCTTTATTGAACAGAGCACTGCTACACCATGTACACGTGTCCAGAGACAGACATATACTCCAGACTGACCCACGGACTGACAGAGGCCACACACACACACCCAGGACTGTGCAAGAACGCTGCTGAGGAGTGGGAGCACACACAGAGGCAAAGCCCACAGCCCAGGGCTCTGTGGGGACACTGCAGGGAGGAGAGAGGTGGAGCATAAGCCAGTGAAGGACCCAGACATGGGATTGATTTCATGATCCAAGGCCTCAAATGGAGCCCAAGCACATAGCCCCAGCACGGCCCCACTCAGCCAGGGCATGAGACTGAACCCAAATGGCCACTCTCCCTGACCTGGGACCCAGACACACACAGCAGTGGCCTCTTTCTCTTCCCTCTCCCCTTATTTTGTGTTTTAAGCTGTATGACTTTATCATTGCGAATACATGTTTGTGGTAAGAGGTCAGTGGTATCTGCCCTATATCTGCTTCAAAGAATTATTTCAAATTTAAAAAAAAATACCAAAACCCAAAAGCAAAATGACAACCAGCTTCCTGAGCGTGTGGTTCATACCTTGGCCCCTATGGAGGCTGGTGTCCCACAGGACAGAGACTCACTTGTGGAAGGGAAACTCACCAAAGCTTGAAGAAAATCCCAGGAAATGCTGCCAGCTGCACTGCAGCCACAAATCAGCCATCCTGAGAGAGGGACCCCAGCTGCACCCGCTGAGCCCCGAGGAATTCCCAACTGGAGGATCCACTTCACACACAGCAGATTGAGAAAATGGGAGGTTACAGCAAACCACAGGCTGCTGGAACGTTGTGACTCCGCTCGGACAGCCCCAGCTGTGGGACAATCCCGGGCTGGGGACAGCTGGTGCCTGCCACCACCCTGGCACGTGGTGGGAGGCGGAAGGCACAGCTCAGGTCCTGCAGAAGAGAAACAAATTTTTGGATTGGGTAGAAACTAGCAGTCTGCATCCCACCGGCTGGAATTCCCTGGATTCTCCTGCTCTGCGAGAGCTGACACCTGAGCAGAGGAAGTGGGACAAGGACTGTGCAAGACAGACCTGGCGAGCCCTGCGTGGGTTTGCTGCCTGCTCTGCTCAGGGCAGTGTCCCAGCGTGGCTCCCACCCACTGCCCTGGGGTTTAAAAATGTGATTTCTCTGTATAAATACGTAGAGACACATTCCATGTTTCGAGAGCTCAGCAGAAGCCCTCTGGTCCCGAGGGATGGTCCTGTGGTTCACAGGGTGGATCAGGGACATGCTGCTGGATCTCCAACTCCCCTGCAGGGCAAAGGGCAGGGGAAACCTCACCCCAGACTAACCCTGCTGAATCCAATCTTCGTTGTATTTGCTTCCACACCACCCTCTGCTCTGTGGTTTTGGAGGGCAGAGCGAGCCAAGAGGTGTGCAGGAGAGAGCTCCCTGTCCCTCCCAGGGTCACCTGCCCACATCCACAGCCCTGATTCTCTCCGAGGACTCAGCTCTGGCATGGGACACCCCAGCTCCCTTCACCCAGCTGCCCCAGGGCTGGCTGGGCTCGGGGCAGGATGTGGAGGCTGCACAACTGTTTGGGCTCCAGAGCTGCACCAAACTCTCCGTGACTGCTCTGCTGGCAGCAAAACCTTTCAGCCTATCGTCCACTTTGCGTTTAAGTAAACAAGCTGTTACATCTTTGAAAGGGGATTCCATTTCAGCACAATGATAAACGACCAGCATACCAAGCAGGGGGAGAAAGAGGTTCTTAAAAGTCATCCTTGAAGTTGTTTACGGATCATGTTCATATGATTCCTGAAAGCTTCCCAGCTGAACGATCCAACCTCGCTCTATTTTCTAGCCTGTGAGAGAAGGATTTTGTTTATTATTACGGCGTTGCTGGTAAGCAGAACCATTTTCCCTTCCAGCTGTACCAGTCACCCGTTGGTGAAGCTCAGCTGCCTCGCTCCTGTGCCTCCCTCCCGGTGCCACATCCCCACCGAGCTCTCAGCGAGGATTAAGGAAAAGAGAATGCATTAGGAAAGTTTTCTACACGAGGCTTTGGTAATGACTTGATTCCCTGCAGTAACTCCTGGCACTATTAGCACAACTATTTCAAAACTAAACTGCATGTAATAAATCAACAGAACCTATTTTAGAGAACTCTAGGGATTATTAGAAAATCTGACCAACTTCTTTCTGTTGTAGCCTTTCCCCTACTTTCTTCCTTTTTTCAGAGCAAAATGGGAAGAAAAAGGGACAAAGGCAACAGGAAGTTTAAGATGCATATTAAGAATATCCGAATTTTCAGTAGGGGTGATTTTGAAATTAAATTGTTTTAGAACAATTAGGAGAAAAAATATTAAAAATAAATTTATTTTCTTTTTTTTTGAGTCAGCTCAAGAATTGTGCTTATTCCCACTCCCAGAGAGCTGGTTCAGTTATGAATTTAGGGACATTTTGCCTTTTTCCCAACATGAACTGCACACTGAGCTCCCCAGTCCAAGCTGAGATGTCCTTAGCTGGGTGATGTCACCTCAACTCACACACATGTGAATGCTCTCTTTCCATGCACTAAATGACCCTGTTGTGGTGTTGTCTCCATGGCATCACTGTAAAATACATGTCTTTAAACAAATAAATCAATAAATGGGTTTGCTGAAGCCGCTTCATTTGTTTATTCACCAAAACTGGAGTCAAACCCAACTGATTCAAAATGTCCACAGGCACAGCGAGCATCTCCTGAGAGCTTTCTGAGAGCCAGAGAACCACATGGATCATGGATGGGAACATCACTGCTCCGAATCCTGCACGTATTCCCACCCTGGCCTTTGATCAGCTTGATGCTCAACTGGAGAAGCAACTGCTGGATGCACAGAGATGTTTTGTCAGGAACTCCACTGCACAGGAAACAGCTTCATTTTCCCTGCTGAACATCCTGGTGTTATTTGCTGGACAGAATTCCATCAGCTCAGAATCTGCAGGATGGTTTCTAGCCTGTTTCCTCAGATTTTGAGCAATACATCCCATGCCATGGGGGGAACAAAGGGCCAGGAATAATGGACAGCTTGCAGTCGTGGGTTTGGAATTGTTTCATTTCTCTCTTATTTGCTGAGATTTGGAACCTAAAGAAGATGAATGTCACCAAACACACGTTGGTTCTACCACATTCTTAATCCTCTCTGGGTAATATAAATCTGTATTTTTCATCATCTACAGTCAATGAACTGTGTGCACACACACTACTCACACAGTAATTCACTGACTTTCCACCCCCAGAGAGGTGGAGGTAATGTATATACTCCTTAGCCCATGTTTATGTTTGAATGATTTCTCACTCAGGAGAAATCTTAGCTTTGATTAAAGGAAACAAAGAAGGATAGTGAAAGAGGTTATCTCCAAAACTATTGTTTGGATTACATTGTCTGAGAACACTAACAGGAATAATTCAAATATATATTTACATATTTTATGAAGTCAATATACTTCACAGATAGAAATGACAGGCATCACATTTACAAAACCTACATTAAAAGTACAGAAATACCAATTTCATTTAATCAGTCACCACCAATAAATCACCCTGATGGCATTTCTGTACATGGTAATACATCACACCCAACTGAATGCCAAACCATCGTTAGGATGGAGCTGCTTGCTGGAAATTTCCAGGATTTTTGAAGAACAGGAAAAGAGAGGCAGCTAGGAAGGTGGTGTATTGTCATTTCCAGCCTGAGGTAAAGCGCTGGTTTGGAGGCACTGACAGGGCCACAGAGGAGCCCGTAAGGGCAGGAGTTACTTTCCATGGCTGTTCAAATCAAACCACAGGAAAATGTTCTCTTGAGCTGCTTTACCCACGGGAGCACCGGTGCACCCCAGACCCGTGGGGCTGGCAGATGTGCCCAGGGTGAAGCCCAGGGCTCTGCAGCCCAGCTCTGAGCCCCCCAGGCTCAGCCTGGCCTCTCAAAGCCCTCTTACACCTTTCTGCCTTTTTTCTTGACTTCAGTTTCCTCCTCCCTCCCGAGCTGCCCTGTTGCTTTCAGTCACCATTTTGGGAACTCCATATTCAAGGCAACAACCCAGGATTACTTTGTGTTTCCTGTCATGTTGCTATAGGACACGAGAAAGCACAACACGAGCCACTGCGATGGCAAGGTAAAAAAGAAGGTTTATTTTCTGACTTCAACTTTTATACTTTTCCAAAGGTGACAGTGGATTGGAGAGTGAATGGGTCACCTCTCCAAAGACATTGTACAAACTACTAATACATCAACTTCTTCCACCCCCACGAAGGAATGCAAAACAATAGGTTGTTTATAGAAAATGTGTGGGAAAGTTTTCTAACAGAATGTAAACTTAGAAGGCTTTAGAAAATCTTAAGAATCAGGGCAACACTGTCACACCTGGAGCCTTTTGCCAAGGAGACCTCCATCCTGCTCCTGCCAGCTGTATCCCTGGGAAGCCATGCCTGGGGAACTGAGCTGGGAAAGCTGCTGTGGTGATAAACTGCCTACAAGATCTTCTGCTGTGATTTTGGAGATGAGCTACAAAATCCACTTGCATCCTTGTGCTCTGCAGGGAACTGCTGCAATAGGGGAAGATGGCTGAGGCTGCTTTATCCTGTTAAATGAAACAGAGGAGCTCAATACCACACTGAAAAAGGGCTCTGAGTGCAAGTCCGATCTTGTTCTGAACTCTTGGAAATCTACTTTTCCTTCATTTAATTGACAAAATCTGTAGATCATACGAGGAAGACATCCCTGCCAAAAATCCAACATCACTAGTTTTTAATAATACAATGGGAATAACCCCTCAGAACATATGTAATTATGGGAATGAGTCATTCCAATGGCATCACGTAACCACATTCACTGGGATTTGACAAAGATGAGGCCACATAAAACTCAAAATGATTTTATTTCAGGCAGTGGTTCTGAGAAGCTGAGGCAACGTAGCAGAGGCGATGGACAACGATCTGTGACCCTGTTGTCCTGGCTGGCTGTGGCCAGGACATGAATGTCGCCAGGAAAGAATGAGA